ATATATATATATATATATCCACCTACAAGAAAATACAATATATCTAATTGTGTAAATCATTAATAATGAATTATATTTCAAACACCAATATATCTCATTATCATGTTGCCATATTCGAATTTTATATATTTTTTCTTATTCTCAATCCAAATGTTATGGGGCAATATTATGTTACTAATGTCACTTAACTAAAAAGCATTACCTAATCAAGAGATGCCAAATTTTTTAAGGCGTTATATTAAAATATTGTATATAAAATATAAATGTTGTATAGAAAATAATTTTTAATAGTATTTGGAATTCTTTTCTTAATTAATATTTTTTCTTGAATTAAATTATGATTTAGTATTTTTGTTTTTTCTTATTTTCTTTTCTATGAATTTGTATTTGTGCAAATGCACAGGTTGATTACTAGTTTCACTCAAACTATAAGCAAGAAGAATTGCAATTATTATTAACATTTATATATAGAATGAAGAAGACAACTGTATCTATATATATATAATAAGAATTAACATTTTTTAAAAATAGTAAGTCACATCTTAGTCAAACTCCCTAGCATTAATTACATGCCATTCATGGCAATTCTTTTTTAACTTAAATACGGGCAGCATTAAATATTGACCTTAAAATGTGGGAATTGTTTCGGCATCATTCCATAAATTTCGATAAGTTTAAAAAGTCAATATCATCCCATTGCATGCTATCATAAACCTACAGAATCCCATATATAAATTTGAAAATTGTTTCGACAAGCTTAAAAAAATATCAATTCTGTAAGTTTAAAAAGTCAATATCATCCCATCGCATGCCATTATAAACTTACAGAATCCATCGGAGTGAATTTGAAAAATCTGATCACTTATCTATTGTAACTGATTATTTAAAATAATAACTAATAATTTTAAAAAAAAAAAAACTAATTCACTCTAATGTCTAATTACTAATATAAATCCATTTTGTATGTTTAATTAGTAATATAAATTCCTGATTTGTGGTAAGATTTTTTTTAAAAGAAGCTAGAAGCTAATTTTCACTATCTAATTCCTAATGTTTTTTCAAATATTGTGTTTTTTTTTTTGTTTTTTAAACCGGCAAATAACTTGAATAAAAACTCAAAGAAGGTTCTTACAATCGAGCAATCAACTGACCACAAATTGACATAGCCTGAAAACAGATCAAGGCCAACCTATGGGAACGCCCAAACGACACCCCTAATCCGAAAATAAACTAGAAAAATAGAACTAGAAAAGGATGAACATACCAATACTAATACAGAACCAAACAAGATAAAAAAACAACATCTAAAACAAGTCAGGAGCATAATGAAAGGAGCAGATTAAATGACATTTTGCTAGCTCCTTTATCTTCATCACCAGTTCAGCAAGGTGTGGCTCAGGCTCCAAGTCTTGAGACAACAACCGAACTACTTTGTGATCAAGAACATAGCACAGAAAGTTTTTTCAAATATTATTATCACTTTGAATTTTATGTTCTCCTGTACAAGCTAATTTTTTATGGTGTATAATAAACTGATATAGGGCAAATTATATCACATGTTAACCTCACATTTTTAATGTATAATTATTATTCAATATTGTTTACCCTCATATTTAATTTATAATATTTTTTCTTGCTCTTCTAAAAGAGGATCAATAGTGGTTCCCCACTTCTTTCGTTGGGTGATTCGAACTCGACACTTATTTATAATCAATATTTAATATTGTTACCTGTGCATAGCACGGGCTACACACTAGTTTTTTTTGTAAACTAAAGTTCATATTTTCATATTTCATTCAAACTATAAGCAAGACGATTTGCAATTATTATTAACATTTATAGAATGAAGAAGACAACTGTATTTCTTTGTAAACTAAAGTTTCATAACAATGGGCTGTTTCACCAATTCCGCTCCTAATTTTGGTATTATCTTGTGTCAGTCCGATTTAACCGTCAGCCCTACATATTTGTTCTACTGTTAATTGTTATGCATACTTTTATTAAAAAATATCATATTTTTAACATATCATAAATAAAAGTATAATAAAATATGACAATTGATAGTATAAATATACATTTTTATACATGGAGTATGGTGGATTAATTCGCCTAATGGTTAAACTGTCTCACCCAATAATTCGTGATTTTTGACATGATAGGTTGGAGGATGGCTTTATTTTTAGTGTACACAAGATGAAGTTTGATTATTCTTCACATTTGATAAGTAAACTTCATGATAAAGACTTATGATAATTTTAGATCACATCATAGAGAGACTTGAAATCTCTAGCAATAAGCCGTAACAATCATTAAGACATGGTATATTTCAAAATTAATTTTCCAATTGCGATGGTGTAAAAATAAGTAATAAAATTATTTCAATTATAAAAAGATTTTTTTCTTGAGATATAATAAATGCTAAAGAGCGACAAGGCAATACANAAATTAAGTTGCAGTTAAGCAGCCTATTAGCTATAAACTTAAGATGAAATTATGGTAGCTAAATTTATTGTTATCCTAGCTTATACAAAACATTAACTAATAATATGATATTTGGTATTGTTCTATTTTTTCAATATTCACCAAACATACTTTATTAATTTACATTTATATGGTAAATTCATTAATTTGATCGTCTAATCAACTCATGTCTCACGTGGACGCTATCTAAACAGATAGCATCTAATTTACCCATTTTTATCTTTGCTCTAATAACCTTTCAACATTTAGGCCTCACTTGAATGTTAGTGGATTTATATAAAATTAGCAGATTGAACTATTTTCGAGGTTTGACTTGTCAAATTCGCCAATTAATTTATTTGATAAAAGAACTTATTTGATTAACTTTTTAGCTCAATAACGACGTTTTAAAAAGAGGAGATTCGTTGAATAACATGTAAATATAAAATTTCCAAACTAATTATACAATTCACTTTTTACCAAACAATTATTTTATAAATAGTTAATATAATCAGTTAATCAAATCAATTATTAAAATTCACTACCAACTATCCGAACATTTCCTTTCTTAACATAAGAGCTGTTTCAAATAATGTTGGATCGGTGGATTGATTGGTCTAATTAATTTAAAATAATTGACTTTTAATTTCGGAATTGAAATACTATGATTGTAGACTTAAATAACATGACAGCCCCATACTATGATTGTAGACTTAAACAACTTTGAATACGTTTACTATGAGTTAAAATAACTTAGTTCACTTTGTAAGTTGAAGACACATGCCACATTTGGTGATTTCCATGTAAATGGGAATTAAACATCAAACTATAATGTGATCGATGTCCATTTTGCACGGTGGACATTAAATACAAAATATGTTATATTATCATTTAGTTCATTCTACGAAATGAGATTTCTTAAATCACTTGTACTTCCTAATTCACTAGTACTATTTCTTATACTGTGTACAAATTTTATTATATTTGTAATTAATTTTAGATGAAATCAATGTATTTTTTGGAAATAATTTTCACCTAAAAGCCATGTACATTATGAATAAAATAACGTACATTAGCGCAACAATATTGTAATTAATTTGAACGAAATTATCGCATCAATATATCTTTAAAAAACAAATTGCATTGATGTTTAACTTTGGATAATAGTAAAATCAATAGAATGGTTTGACTATTTACATTTTTTCAATAAATATATGAATTCTATACTTAAATGTTACAATTCTAAATATAATATAAATAAATTAGGTCATTTTCATGTATAGGTATATTTTTATAAGAAAAAAAATGACTATCTGCCCATTAAAAAACATAACTAACAACATTTCCTAAGGAAAATGTATTGTGTAAAAAATTATTTTATGTTAAGGTTCATGGAACATCTACTTAATGGCATGATTGGTATGATATAATGGAATTTCGTAGGAATGGAATGAATTACAGAATGGAATAATTATGGGAATGGAATGAAACATATTTTGTCATTGATGCGTTTGGTATGCAGAAAGAATAGGACTGGAATGGTATGACATTATTATTTTTTATTATAAAAATAATAAAAGCTTTTTTTAAAAAATAATATACTTTTAATAAATTATATATTAATGATTTTTCAATAATATATAAAAATACAATAATATATTTTTAATAATATATAAAAATAAAATAATATATTGTTTAATAATATAAAAAATAATATATTTTTAATAATATATAAAAATAAAATAATATATTTTTAAATTATATATAAATACTTATTTTAGTTTTATTTTTATATAAGTATTTAATATATCTAATTAAAATATAAATACAATTAAGTTTTCAATGTTTTTATTTGAACTTTTTTATAAAAAATAATTTTATTTAATATATTTTAATCATGATTTATAATATATATTATATATTTATTTATTATTATTATTTATTAATTTTATATTTTAAAAAATTAATTCTTACACAAATGGGAATGAGAAAACCTTCCATTTACTATGGAATGCTAATCCCATGGAGATGGGTTTTGCCATTCCCATTGGAATGGTCATTCCTTCCCAAAAAATATATCAATCATGGAATTAAGAATGAGTAAGGGAATGATCATTCATTCTCATGTCATTCCTTCCTACCACTCATGCGAAAGTTATTATACTGGGTAAACGTAGAATAGACAGTTTATAAATTATTTAATAGTTAAATTATAAGCTACTTTTATTTTAAAACTTGTACTTTTGACTGTGGACCCAACCAATCCCAAACTAATAACACCCAAATTCAGCTTAAATTCACACCAAATTAACTAATCTCTAAACCAAAAATTACAATAAAAAATAAAAATAAAAAATCTTACACTTAATGCACGCAGTCCCACACTCCATTTCTTCATCGTCTCCAACTCTCTCTGCACCACTCAACTCTCTGTCGCTCTCTCTCAAGCCCACAAAACCATAACAATATCACATAAATTTAAATTGCTCAACACTAATTGTCAATTTCATTTTACTTCAGCTCCTTTTTAATCTCTGCCGATGAATCTATGGAGCACCGCTGCTCCGGCGGTGGCGAAGGGAGACGCCGCCGTGATGGAGGCGTTCATGTCCCCAGCTTCGGATCCGTCTTCCTTCTGGCTCACATCCGTTATTGCCCCGCAGACCGCTTTCTCCGTGGCGTCCTCTCCTCCCCCTCATCATCCGCCGCCCGCCGGAGACCAACCGAGGACCTCCGCCGGCCGCGCCCAGTTCATTCAGGAAACCCTCCAGAAGCGCCTGCTGGCCCTGATTGAGAGCGCTCGCGACACCTGGACCTACGCCATCTTCTGGCAGTCCTCGACCGTTGACTACGGCGACTCGCCGGTGCTGGGCTGGAGCGACGGCTTCTACAAGGGGGAGGAGGACAAGGCCAAGCGCCGGACCTCGTCATCCCCGTCCGAGCAGCAGCACCGGAAGAGGGTCCTCCGGGAACTCAATTCCCTGGTCTCCGGCCCGCAGGCCGTCGCCGAAGACGCCATCGACGAGGAGGTCACCGACACCGAGTGGTTCTTCCTCATATCCATGACCCAGTCCTTCGTCTCCGGGTCCGGCATCCCGGGCCAGGCTCTGTACTCCTCGAGCCCTGTTTGGGTCACCGGCCCCGAGAGGCTCGCCACCTCCCCCTGCAGCCGTGCCCGCCAGGCCTACGAGTTCGGCCTCCAGACCCTCGTCTGCATACCCTCCTCCACCGGCGTCGTCGAGCTCGGCTCCACCGAGGTAATCTTCCAGAACTCGGATCTCACCCGGATAGTGAAAACCCTGTTCAATTTCAACCGACCCGAATCCGGCCCTGCTTCCGGTCCCCCAGCCGACCACGACCCGGCCGCCCTCTGGCTCGCCGACCCCTCCTCCTCCTCCGCCACCGCCGCCACGGATCTGAGGGATCCACTGAATAACACCACCACCACCGCCGCCGCCGCCACCAACATCGGTCACCCAACCCCAATAATCCCCAACCCTCAAATCGTTCAATTAGGCGACCAAATCCCCAATCCCGGCGCGTTGACCCACGCTCCCCTCCCAAGCAAGGATCTCAACTTCTCCGAATTCGGCCTCAACTCTACCACCCCATCCCTCCAAACCACCGGGCTCTGCAAGCCCGAATCCGGCGAGATACTCAACTTCAACAACCCTAACCCAAAAAAACGATCCTCCCCCATCACCCGATGCAGCATCATCAACAACAACGATGAAGGCATGCTCTCCTTCACCTCCGGCGCCATCGTCAAAATCGACGACTGCTGCACCATAATCGACTCCGACCAATCGGACATCGAGCCCTCCATAGCTCGTGAAGTCGAGAGCAACCTAGCCGCCGCCGCCACCACCACCGCAATCCCCTCCCCGCCGGAGAAAAAGCCACGGAAGCGCGGCCGGAAGCCCGCCAACGGCCGGGAGGAGCCGCTCAACCACGTGGAGGCCGAACGACAGAGACGTGAGAAGCTCAACCAGAGATTCTACGCCCTCCGAGCAGTTGTCCCCAACGTTTCGAAAATGGACAAGGCTTCCCTTCTCGGTGACGCCATCTCGTATATAAACGAACTCAAGTCGAGGCTTTTGGCGGCAGAGGCCGACAGGGAAGAACTTCGGCGAAGGCTCGAGCTTAACGGGAATCAAGAAGTCGTTATCTCGGGTGGCGGTGGTGGGGGGGTTGGGTTTGGGGATGTTGAGGTTGAAGTGAAGATCATGGGACGGGATGCCATGATTCGGGTGCAATGTGGGAAGAGGAATCATCCGGCGGCTAAGTTGATGGTGGCGCTTAGGGAGCTCGATTTAGACGTGCATCATGCTAGTGTGTCGGTTGTGAACGATATTATGATACAACAAGCGACGGTTAAGATGGAGGGTCGGTTTTTCACGCAGGAACAGCTAAAGGGGGCTCTCGTCTCAAGGTTAGGCGAGGCCCGGTGAGGAAAATAGGTTTTTTTTTTTTGGGGTGTTGTTTTTTTGAGTTTTAGTATACATATATGTGTGTGTTGTGTTGTGTAGGTTGAGTTTGAAGTGTTTCGTTTAGGTTTTGGTCATGTAGTGAGTGTGTGGAGACTAGGGTGAGTGTATAGTTTGCTCTGAAAAATGTTCGGGTTTTAGGGTGGTTTTATGTGGGATGAAACTTGGGATTGAGATATGTTTTCTGGTTTGTGATGGAGTTTAGAATGTGGATTGTTGAGAAAAAAAATTGGGTAGTACAAATGGTGGTGGTGTTAGAGCATCTCAAGTGCTCTATTATTGACATTCAAAAATTGATGCTACATAATGGATATCAAATAAATGTACTTGACATTGACATAGAATTTAGAACCAACTCCAATCCAGACTCAATGTCTTCACTATTTAAAATTAAATTTAATTAATAAATAGTTTAATGTTTCAACTAATATTTATTTAGTTACCGATAACCAACAAAACCACATTATTTAATGATTTGACAGGTGTTCTTGACAGGTATTTTTATAAAATTTTATTTTATTTTTTATTAAAGATTTTAGTTTAAATTATTTATCTAATTTTCATAATTTATACTTTACAAATTAAAATAATTATAAGTGTTCGTATGCTTCTTGCCTAAATTTTATAAATTTTTTAAACAAATAGTATTATATATATATATGCAATATATGTAATAAATATTATTTTACATAATGTAAAGAGTATTTCGTAAATACCTTTTGTATTTATTAGTAATATCGCGATAACATAAATATATGACTTAAATGTTAAATGGTAGGTAGTTAGTTAGACTTATAAATTTATGTTCAGAAAAATACCTCATATTTGTTGGCGCAATTTTTTTCCCACGTTTTCTTAAGATTTTGGCATGATTGTGCTGAGTCACGCTGTTACGGAGACTTTCTACCTCCAGACAGTGGGTGAGAAAGTGGTCAGGCCACGTCAAAAGAAAATGGGCCTAGACAGTTAGCATTGGAGAGAAAGAAATAAAGACTGATGTTGAAAGTACTCATGTGGCACGTATTTTTTGGACTCAACAGTCCCGCACTGGAGATGTTCTTAGGTAGTCTAATCGTTTAGAGCTATCTCACCGTTGGTCAGACATTTTGCTTATTAAATATGCATACTTACAGTTACACTACATGTTGAAATTTTGTTTATAGTATATTTTAAAGTATGATATTTGAGTAATGTTAGTTTGGTTAGTAAGGCAATTGTTAAACAAACATATTTTTTCAATAAATATGTATATTTTGAAAGTGAAATGGCGTAATCATTTTACAAGATGATAGAAGCATAAATATAAATACATTATATATGCTAAGTATTAATTTTCATTAAAAATTATGATATGGGTCGACGACGCACAGAACGGTTAAACTGATCCATACAAGAATTGTCTAGTTTGGTTATCTTTGTGCATAATTGCAACATGAGTAACTGCTGCTGCTGCCTGGTGCTATTGCAAATAAAAGTTACATTTGACACTTCAATTTGATTTAGTCAGTGTAGTTTTTCAGTTGATTAAGTGTGGGATATTTGTTCATCTCTATAACAAAATAAATAAAAAGGTGAAACTGGTGATTTTGGTAGATGTCTTACAGTTATGCCTTTTTAATAACTTTTAAAATTAATTGCTACGAAAAGCTCCTTGTCTGTGTCACAATACAACAACATTTGTAATAGAGTTGAGTTGTGGGAGAACAAAATTGTTTGCCTGAATGAAAGGGAATCTTATTGCTGTTATCTGGAGTGGTTT